ACATTGAATGTTTTCCCATTTGTTTGTATCATCTCCATTTCTTTCAACAGTGGTTTGTAGTTCTTCAAGGAGACTTTTCAAGAGACTACTCTATTAGTCCAGGCAATAAATGATTATAGCTTGGTCTAGTATGGGAGCAGAGGAGACAGATGGAAGTGGATGAGTATAGGAGGGAAAATTCACAGGACTTGTTGAGGGATTGACCATGGAGAGTAACACAGATGGAGGTGCCAGAGATTATTCCTGGGTTTCTATCACATCCAATTTGGTGGAACTACTAACTAAAAAATAATAATAATAAAAAACACTAAAAGAGAGTCAGATATTGGAGAGAAAGCATAAGATCACACTTGGACCTGTGGGAACTCTATCAATGGGCCAATAGAGGAGAATCCATCTCCTACAGAGATAAGAGGAAAACCAGAGGTGAACAATGTCAGGAAAAGAGAGTATCAATAATTAGTTAGCTAAAATGTAATAATGTCAGGATTAAAAGAAGTGCCTGAATGAAGAAAATGTACAAGGTGGAAACTTTTTAAAAGCTTGACCTTTAATAGAGATAAAAGTGGTACTATTAATCAAGGGAGGAGTTGGTTGCAATAATTCCAAGGTGTAAAAGTTACAGGTGTTACTGAAATGAATTGAACTGGGGCCTGCCCATCCAGCACAGTAAGGCCGAACATCCACACTGAGGTTTGCAGCAGGAAAAGGAGGGTGTTTATTTGCAAGACACAAGGAGGAATTGGGCAGCTCGTGCTTAAGACCCAACCTCCTCAGTGGCTTGCAAGTAAGGGTTTTCAAAGACAGGGGAAAATTTCAGGAAAGCAGAAGTTACAGGCAAACTTATAAATTACGACATGGAAACTATACACTGGTTTGGCCTTAAAGGGGGGACATCTTAAGCAGGGGTTTATAAATCATAGGCAGATTCAAAGACTTTCTGATTTGCAATTGGTTAAGGAAGAGAAGCTTTGTTTAAAAATTTGTGATCACCCTAAAGGAATGTTAGCTCTGACTCGTGGGTGTAACTTCCTCACCCACGAGGACTCAGACCCTCAGGAAGGACTTAGAACATAGAATGGTGGTCAGGGTTCAGTCCTTAGTTCCCCCTTATCTGAGGTCTGCCTACCAGCAGATCTGTTTGATGGAGGTCTGTGGGGATCTGGGTTTCTGAAAAACAGCTTAGGGACATACATTAGATATTACCTTTAGTTTCTATAGGGAAACAAACATCTCATGACTCTAACTTCCTTGGCTATTGTTTTAAGCTACTATTACCTTTTTGCTTATCAAGTTGCTCATTTAATTCTCAGGGCTAGCTAGGTAGAATTTCCAGAACTTCTTTTGAAAGAACTCAAGATTTTCCTTTATTTCCATGCATGGGGGGGTGGGGGTGGGAGTGCATGGCAGGCCCCTAAGAGGCTTCCCTGCTTTGTCTCATAGGTTCATCAGAATGGGGTGTCCTCAGATGTGATTTGTAGTTGTGGGTTCTGATATGGATTTGTCTAGGATTTGGTGGCAAGAGATGTGGAGATTAGGACTAGGATTGAGTCACTATTTCAGGGGATAGCCTGGGGATGACCTAGGGAATTGTTAAGGAACAAGAGGTTACTATTTCTTCACATGGTGAGGATTGTCCTTTTTTTTTTCATTCCAACCAGTGATTCCCAACTGACTTGACAGATGCTAACCTGCTATATTGCTTCTGCCACAATAATTTTTCCACAATGATTCTTAACCTATTACAAATGTATGGAAACAAATTAACCTGAGTACAATTGATTTGGTTACATTCTAAACATATACCTTTAGGAATGAGTTCACTTAATCATATAGGAAACTAAATGAAGACAGCAGCATTGAGACTGAAAAAGCTAATGAATATAGAAGTTTTGAGGGCAAATGATTGTATATAGGGTAGGAGGGAGATGATGTAGAAGAGATCAAGTCTGCAGTCCTGGGTGAGTGGGAGGAAGAGAGAAGTCAGATGGCAGGATCTATTTGAGGAGAGGTGCAGACAGTTTTGAGCATGTTTTGCTTGAGACCCTGGCATGAAGTCTACGTGGATTTTTCCAAGAGTCTGTTATAAACATTTGGCTGTTATTTTGTTGGAAACATCTTACTGTTATATGGGATGTCATACAACAATAAAAGTGCTGAGCTTCTCAGGGACTCTGGGGTGCAAATAAGCTCACTTTTCACTAGGACCTCCTCCACCCCAACCCCTACAGGTATTTAAGTTGTAACTTCCTCAAGCAGTTCTTTCCCTATCATGTAGCTCTGGTCCATGCCATGTGTGCCAAAGGTAACCAAACCTTTCATCCTGACCATCACTAACTGGATTGGCACCCCAGCCAAAGGCAACCAATCTTTTTGGAGAAAAGAGAAGCCAACGTCCTCTGAGAAGGTACGAAATAACACCACATGAAGCTGGGAAAGGCTTCAAGAACTTAGGTTTTTAAGGAGTAGTGATCATTTTACTTTCTCAGTTATTTGTTAATATGTTGAATTACATTGGTTTTTAAATGTTAAAGTCTTGTTTTCTTGGAATAAGTCTCATTGACCACAGCGCATTAACTTTTATACATATATCTGGATTTTATTTGCTAATATTTTGTTTAGAATGTTGGCATTCATGTTCATGGAGATGACCTGACATTAATTTTCATTTCTTGTAAAGTCTTTTGCAGGTTTTTCTGTATCATGGTTATATTCATATCATAAAATGAATTGGAAACCTCTGGTTTCAGCTCCAACACGTAAAGAGCTTAGAAGTTGTCACTTCCATCCTTATAATAAGAAAAGCCTAAACAAACTGAAAATCAATGATTTTTCCTGGACCTATCAGAGAGCTGAAGTTGCAAGGTAGACCACCACTCTGAAATTGGGAGAGACAGGCAAATCCAGAGAAGTACAGCTAATATTTGCGAATCTGGAGCAGAAGCCACTTGGAACCATAAACTGTTAGGAACACTTAAATAGTAATTTCGATGGTAATTTTGACAAATTGCTAGAAGCTGAGTGTGAACTAGCATGAGACTGAAAAACTTCTGGGACCACCATCTTAGTAGGGCCCTCATATTTTCATGGATTCTATTTCCAAAAACCTCATTAGTTTCTCCCTTACTGGTTCTGGTGGGATAGAGCAGGGGAAGAAAATAAATCTTTATGAAATAAACCCAAGGTATGCTCCATAGCAAAGGCATCTCCAAGGACAAACAGGCTTTTCCAGAGCCTTATCCCACCTGGGAAAAGGGCATTGATCCCCCTCTATTTTCCTCTAACCTTCCTGTCTTACCTAACAGGGAGGGAAAAGTGAAGAAACACTTGTGAAGGACAGTGTCCAGGAACACAGGCCCACCAAAAGGCTGAGATTTCATCATAAGATTATAGAATACTTTCGTTCTATATACTAATATGCACCCCAATAATAAAAGTAGATTATATGGACAAGAATTGAATATAGAGAAACACAAAACAAATTTATTGAGGTGATGGAAATGTCTCATGTCTTAATTAGAGTGACAATTTTCTGGGTGTATAAATCCATCAAAACACATAGAACTGTCATCTTAAATCTGTGCATTTTATTTTACCTAAATTATACCTCAATAAAAAGCAAATATGGGTAAAATACATTATAGCAGAAAAAGCTGTAAGATACAGACTCTCTCTGAGTAGGAGTACTTAGGGAAACCCAAAGTCAACAAAGGAGACAGAAACGAGGACGTTAACGGAATTTGAAGCCTTTGTCACCTACAGCCACCATAAACATTAAAGATAGCCCAACTCCCAGCCAGATTAATATAAAAGCTTACACTATAGGACTATTTATATTATGTCTGACTTTCAACAACAGAATGAAGTGGGAAGCAGTTTTTCTTTTTCTGTTCTTTGAGTTTGGTTACAATTGGTATTATTAATTCTTTACATATTTGGCACAATCCGCCAGTGAAGCCACTTGGATCTAGAGTTTTCTTTATGGGAAGGCTTTCACTAGTGGATTCAATTGTTTTAACAAGCATAAAACTACTCAAATTTTCTTATGTTTTTAGTGTCGGTTTGGGTACATGGTGTTTTTTAAGGAATTTACTATTCACTTAAGTGTCAAATATATTAGTAGTAAGTTTTCTTTTAGCGTTAGTAAGATCTATAGTTAATGTTTACTTTTTTATTTTTAATATTAGTAATGTGTTTCCTCTCTCTTGAACAGTTTTACTGGCATGTTATTAATTTTGTTAATCTTTTCAGACATCACTTTTGCCTATTTTCATGTTTTCTGTTCTATATTAATTTTTTATTTCACAACATTTTCCTAGTGTCTTTATTTTTACTTCCTTCTATTTCCCTTGGATTTTATTTGATGGTCTTTTTCTAGCTTTTTGAGATAAAAGCTTAGATCATGAATTTTTGCCTTTAATCTTTTCTAATATACGTAAATAAAACTATAACTTTTCCTCTAAACTCTATAGCTGCATCTCCCAAATTTTTATTTGTCATGTTTTCATTATAAGTCAATTTTGTAAAACTTGCTAATTTCTTTTGTTATTTTTCGGATCATGACTCATAAACAAGTATATTGTTTTATTTCCAAATTTAGGATTTTTATGATTATCTTTTATTATTGATTTCTATCTTAACTAGGGTCAGAGAACACATTTTGAATTATTTCATTTATTTAATATTTATTGGGACTTTGAAAACCCAGAATATGGTCACTTTTGGTATAGTCCAAGTTCACTGATAAAAATGTGTATTCTATTGTTTGCCACAGTTTTGTATACATGTCAATTAACTCAATTGTATTAATTTTGTTATTCTTGACTGCTACATATATATATATATATATTTTTTTTTTTTTTCAGAGCTAACTGAAGTTTTATTATGGACAAAAAGAAAAAAAAAAAGCAAATGAATTGTTTTGTAGCTGGAGGCATGGGCAAGAGGGGGTCCTCAGGCAGTAAACTCCCCGAGAGTGGGCTGAGGGCTAGGGCTGAGCCTCAGGTGAGCCTCCCTCCCGTTCGCTGTGCTCCCCTGCACAGCAACCTCCCTCCCGGGCTCTGGGGCAGCCACAGGAGGGGCACGCTGGGAGGGGCTGCCGCAGCTGTTCCCTTGGGCAGGATGTCAGAGGACTGGAACACCAGCTTCCCATCCCGGGTCTCGATCTTCTTCACAACCATGGCCCTGGTGGAGCTGGTGCGGCTGAAGGAGCCGGAGCCCGCACCAGAGCCAAAGCTGGAACCCAGGCCGTAGCTGAGGCCGGGGCTTGTGAGGCCGCCATAGGCGGAGCTCAGACCACCTGCATAGCCGCTGGTGGTCTTCCTATGGGTGCTCACGTTCTGCATCCCAGACTCCAGCCGGCTCTCCTTGCCCTCCAGCAGCTTCCTGTAGGTGGCGATCTCGATGTCCAGGGCCAGCTTGACGTTCATCAGCTCCTGGTACTCACGCAGCTGCCGCACCACGTCCTGCTTGGCCCGCTGCAGGGCAGCCTGCAGCTCGGACAACTTGGCGTTGGCATCCTCAACGGCCAGCTACCCACGCTGCTTGGCGTCTGCGATGGCAGCCTCCAGGGAAGCCCGCCCTCAATCTCAGCCTGGAGCCGGTTGATGTTCCGGCTGATGTTCATCTCGGAGATCTCAGTCTTTGTACGCCCCAGGTCATCCCCGTGCTTCGCAGCCAGCGTCTGCAGTTCCTCATACTTGATCTGGTACCTGCTCTCAGCCTCAGCCCGGCTGCGGTTGCCAGTCTCCTGGTACCGCGCCTTGATCTCAGCCATGATGCTGTCCATTCCAGGGAGCGGCTGTTGTCCATGGACAGCACCACAGACCTGTTTGAGATCTAGGACTGTAGTTCACGGATCCCCTTTTCACACAGCTGCCTGAGGAAGTTGATCTCGTCAGTGAGTCCTTCCAGGCGAGACTCAAGCTCTACCTTGTGCATGTAAGCTTCATCCACATCCCTGATGAGGACAAATTCATTCTCCATCTCTGTACACTTATTGATCTCATCCTCATACTTGTTCTTGAAGTCCTCCACCAGCCCCTGCATGCCTGCATGTTGCCAAGCTCCGCCTCAGGCTTCAGCTTCTCCTGGCCCAGAGTCTCCAGCTGCCATCTAAGGTTGTTGATATAGCTCTGGAACATGTTATCCATGTTGCTCTGAGCCATCTTCTGCTACTGCAGGAGGCTCCACTTGGTCTCCAGCATCTTGGTCTGCTGCTCCAGGAACTGTATCTTGTTGATGAAGGAAGCAAACTTGCTGTTGAGGGTCTTGATCTGCTCCTTCTCCTGGGTGTGCCCAGCCTGGATGTTGGAGTCCACCTCCAGGTGAAGGGGGCTCAGCAGGCTCTGGCTGACTGTGATGGTGGTGAGGCCTCCCATGTCACTGACCCCACCATAGCTTCCGCCCAGGCCACCCCGGAAGCTGCTGCTGCCCACTCGGGGAGAAGCTTGAGGAGCTGATGCGGGCACCAGGCTCACTTGTCTAGGAGCAGTTGCTGAAGGCCCAGAGGCCAGAGGTGGACATCTTGTAGGACTTCTGGGTCACCCTGGTGGACGTGGTGGAGGCAGGAGTGGAGGCAGGCAGGCTGAACCAGGTGGAGATTCCAGAAGGAGCAGAGAAGCTGCTTCTTGGTGAGCAACTGCTATATCTTTACAGTTTTATTTTTCATTTGCTTGTACTATCAGGCACTGTTAAGTTTGTTAATGTTAATTATGGATTTTTCTATTTCTGTACATTTCTGCTTTATATACTTTTCAGGTATATTACTGGGTGTATACAATAATAGTTTTTATTCGTTTTTCCTATTTATTGGTATGAAATGTCTCTATCTCAAACAATTCTTCATGCCTTGAATTGCATGCTGTATAATATTATTTTGGCTACTTTATTTTCTTTTGGTGTATACATTTTAATCCTTTTGCTATAAATCTTTCTGTGTCCTTATATTGATATCTTCCTTTTAGGCAGTATAAAGTTGGGCAGGGTTTGTTTCTAGGCATCTTATTCTGTCTATTAGTCTATCATTTTAACAATACTATATACAGTGCCATAAGTATTATAGCTAATTATTGGTATCTAGTAAGGATATTTTCTCTTTAGGGGTGTCTTGGCTATTTTTACACTTTGTTTTTTCATATTTGTTTTAAATCGTTTTGTCAAGTTACACACACACACACACACACATGCCTGCTGGGTTTGGGTTGCAATTCCACTGAATCTGTTGATCAACTGGAGGAAAATTGATATCATCACAATATTAAGTCTTCCTACCCATGACTACAGTTTCCACTTAGAACTTTTTAAATGACTTTCAATATAGTATTTTATTTCCACAATAAATATATTACATCCTTTTAACTACTTTTATTTCTAGGAGCTGTAGGGTTTTAATGCTAAGTTCATTTTCTGTCACTGGAATATAGAAATGTTATTGAAATTTTTAATTTTTAATTTTGAAATAATTTTAGATTTATAGAAGAGTTACAATGATAGCATATAGAATTCCCATATGCCCTTCACCCTGCCTCCCCTAATGTTCACATCTGATATGGTTTGTCTGTGTCCCCACCCAAATTTCAACTTGAATTGTATCTCTCAGAATTCCCACATATTGTGGGAGGGACAATTGAATCATAGGAGCTGGTCTTTTTTCCATGCTATTCTCGTGGTAGTGAATAAATCTCACAAGATCTGATGGGTTCATCAGGAGTTTCTGCTTTTGCTTCCTCTTCATTTTCTTTTGCCACTGCCATATAAGAAGTGCCTTTTGCCTCCAGTCATGATTCTGGGCCTTCCCAGCCATGTGAAACTGTAAGTCCCATTAAACCTCTTTTTCATCCCAGTCTCGGGTATGTCAGAAAGCATGGAATGCTCTCATGTCCGCAGCATGAAAACAGACTAATACAACATCTTACATAACCATGGCACAATTATCAAACTAAGAAATTAACATTAGTACAATACTGTCAACTAAATTATATGTGTTATTTAGATTTTCTCAGTTTTTCTGCCAATGTCTTTTTATCTGTTTGAAGATCACATGCAGGGTACCACCTTGTATTTAATCACGTTGTCTCCCTAGTCTCTTCCAATGTGTAGCAGCTTCTTGGTTTTGCTTCTCTTTCATGACCTTAACGCTTTTGAAAGAGTACTGGCTGGGTATTTTATAGACTGCTTCACAATTTGGATTTGTAAGATGTTATCTCAAGATTAGACTTGAGTTATAGATTTGGAGGAAGAATTCAGCATAAGGGAAAGTGCCCTTCTCATTACCTCATTTCAAGGAGTACATGGCATTAACTTATCATTGGTGATATTAGACTTGATTATTTGGTTAAGGTGGTGTCTGCCAGGTTTCTTCACAGTGAATTCATTATTTTTTTCCGTGTTCAATTTGTTAAAAGTGAGTCATTAAGTTCAGTCACATTCAAGGGGAAGAAATTAAACTCCACCTCCTTGAGGAAGGAGTATGAAAAAAATTTGTGGTAATGTGTTAAGTCCACCAGAGTAATTACTAAATTGGGGAGAAATACTTGGAGACTATACAAATACACTTTTCTCCTTAAAGTTTTGTCCACCAATTTAGCATTCATCAACAGATACTACCTACAACAGTTATCACTGTGGTGTTTCTAATGCTGATAATCTGTTTTCTTCATTTCTTTTATACTCATTAATTGAAATTATTCTTTAATGAAGATTTGTCCTTTCTTCCCCATTTTTCATAGCTTTGATCATTTATTTATATCAAGGTGGACTCATGGATAATTTTATCCTTAGAGTTATAACCCAACACTATCATTATTATCATTATTTTTGTGTTCCTCAATTGGTTATTGACCCACTTTCAGTTTGGCTCCTGTGTTCTTATGACATGCCTCCACTCCTAACCCCCTCCCATTTTTAGCCCTTCCTTACTTTCTAATACTACAAAATGGATAAGGTATTTTCCTTCCTTTAGCGTTATAATTAGCCATTCTCCAATGAGCTGTGGTTCCTTTTATTGAAAAGTGGTATTTTAAAACGAAGACCTTGGTGCTGGGTATACCTGTTACTATTGAAATGTTACTGCTTCTAGAATCTCTCAGAGCTAAAAAGTTACAAACCCCCACACACTCAAACCCATGTATACAAATATACATCTATATTTATTTTTATCTCTATTTTTATTTATATCTATCTATCAACATGAGCTCATACTGATATCTCTGACTACTGTAGCACCACAGGATTCATTCTGTCCTCCCCCACCCCTCCATTTACTTGTAACTTCTTTCTTTGACAGTGTGAAATCTGGGCTCATTAGCTTTTTTTTTTTTTTTATACTTTAAGTTCTAGGGTACATGTGCACAACGTGCAGGTTTGTTATATATGTATACATGTGCCATGTTGGTGTGCTGCACCCATTAACTCATCATTTACATTAGGTATATCTCTTAATGCTATCCCTCCCAGTCCCCCACAATAGGACCCGGTGTGTGATGATCCCCTTCCTGTGTCCAGGTGATCTCATTGTTCGATTTCCACCTATGAGTAAGAACATGCAGTATTTGGTTTTCTGTTCTTGCGAAAGTTAGCTGAGAATGATGGTTTCCAGCTGCATCCATGTCCCTACAAAGGACATGAACTCATCCTCTTTTATGGCTGCATAGTATTCCATGGTGTATATGATGTGCCACATTTTCTTAATCCAGTCTATGATTGATGGACATTTGGGTTGGTTCCAAGTTTTTGCTATTGTGAATAGTGCTGCAATAAACATACGTGTGCATGTGTCTTTATAGTAGCATGATTTATAATCCTTTGGGTATATACCCAGTAATGGGATGGCTGGGTCAAATGGTATTTCTAGTTCTAGATCCTTGAGGAATCACCACACTGT